TCTCATTGGACTGCATCTTTTAAAGGTCCACAGCACCTCCTAGTAGCACCACTCTGAGGACCTAGCCTTTAGCACATGGGAGTTTGGGGGACACTTAACATTGAAACCGTAGAAGATGCTAGCCTGAACATAAAAATTGAAGACTTTGGCATCAATAGTCTGTTTACTTATGCAAAAAAGCTTTTATTTATTTTTATTTATTTATTTTTATTGATTCTATTATTTTTTTTAAATATGCAAGGACAGTGGAATGCATTACAATCCTTATTACACATATAGAGCACAATTTTTCATCTCTGTATATAAAGTATGTTCATGTTAATTTATGCCAGTATATGTGTACTTTTTTTTTGCATTACAATTCTTAATACACATATATACCACAATTTTTCATATCTCTGTTTGTATATAAGGTATATTGACACCCAGTTCAAGTCTTCATACATGTACTTTGTATAATGATGACTGTCACATTCCACCATCCTTGCTAATCCCCTTCCCCCTCCCTTTCCCTCCCACCCCTCTTCCCTATCTAGAATTAATCTAATCCTCCCATGCTCTCCCTTCCTACCCCACTATGAGTCAGAGAAAACATTGGCATTTGTTTTTTTGGAATTGGCTGACTTCACTTAGCATTATCTTCTCCAGCGCCATCCATTTACCTGGAAATGTCATAATTTTGTTCTTTTTTAATGCTGAGTAATATTCCATTGTGTATAAATGCACTTTTTTTTTTTTTTTTTTTTTATCCTTTCACCCACTGAAGGACATCTTGGTTGGCTCCACAGTTTAGCTATTDTGAATTATGCTGCTATAAACATGGATGTGGCTGTGTCCCTGTAGTGTGCTGTTTTTAAGTCCTTTGGGTATAGTCTGAGAAGAGGAATAGCTTGGTCAAATGGTGGTTCCTTTCCCAGATTTCCAAGGAATCTCCATACTGCTTTCCAAATTGGCTGTATCAATTTGCAGTCCCACCAGAAATGTATGAGTGTCCTTTTCCCCCACATCCTTGGCAACACTTTTTGTTTGTCTTCATAAGAGCTGCCATTCTGACCGGAGTGAGATGATATCTTAGAGTAATTTTGATTAGCATTTCTCTGATTGCTAGAGATGATGAGCATTTTTTCATATATTTGTTGATTGATTGAATATCCTCTTCTGAGAACTGTCTGTTCAAGTTCTTGGCCCATTTATTGATTGGGTTAGTTGTTTTTTTGGTGCTTAGCTTCTTGAGTTCTTTATATACCCTAGAGATTAGTGCTCTATCTGATGTGTGAGTGGGAGCAAATTTGTACCTCTCTGTTCACCTCACAGATTGTTTCTTTTGCTGAGAAGAAAAATCTTTTTAGTTTGAATCCATCCCATTTATTGATTCTTGTTTTTAATTCTTGTGCTTATAGGGGTCTTATTAAGGAAGTCGGGGCCTAATCCCACATGATGAAGATTAGGGCCTACTTTTTCTTCTATTAGACACAGAGTCTCTGGTTAAATTCCTAGGTCCATGATCCATTTTGAGTTAAGTTTTGTGCATGGTGAGAGAGAGGGGTTCAATTTTATTTTGTTGCATATGGATTTCYAATTTTCTCAGCACCATTTGTTGAAGATGCTATCTTTTCTCCAGTGCATGTTTTTGGCACTTTGTCTAATATAAGATAATTGTAATTTTGTGGGTTAGTCTTTGTGTTTTCTATTCTGTACCATTGGTCTACTGGCCTGTTTTGGTGCCAGTGCCATGCTGTATTTGTTACTATTGCTCTGTAGTATAGTTTAAGGTCTGGTATAGCGAAACTACCTGCTTCGCTCTTCCTGCTTAGAATTGCTTTAGCTATTCTGGGTCTCTTATTTTTCTAGATGAATTTCATGATTGCTTTTTCTAGTTTTATGAGGAATGCCATTGGGATTTTGATTGGAATTGCATCAAACCTGTATAGTGCTTTTGGTAGTATGGTCATTTTGATAATATTAATTCTGCCAATCCATGAGCAAGGTAGATCTTTCTATCTTCTATGGTCTTTGAATTCTCTCTTTAGGGTTCTGTAGTTTTCATTGTATAGATCTTTCACCTCTTTTGTTGATTCCCAAATATCTTATTTTTTTGAGGATATTGTGAATGGGGTAGTTTTCCTCATTTCCTTCTCAGAGGATTTGTCACTGATATACAGAAATGCCTTTGATTTATGGGTGTTGATTTTATATCCTGCTACTTTGCTGAATTCATTTACTAGTTCTAGACGTTTTTTGGTGGCGTTTTTTGGGTCTTCTAGGTATAGAATCATATCGTCAGCAAATAATTCTAATTTAAGTTCTCCTTTTCCTATACTTATTCCTTTAATTTCTTTTGTCTGTCTAATTGCTCTGGCCAGTGTTTCAAGAACTATGTTGAATAGAAGTGGTGGAAGAGGGCATCCCTGTCTTGTTGCAGATTTTAGAGGGAATGCCTTCAATTTTTCTCCCTTTAGAATGATGTTGGCCTGAGGCTTAGCGTAGATAGCCTTTATAGTATGGAGATATGTTCCTGTTATCCCTAGTTTTTCTAGTGTTTTGAACATAAAGGGRTGCTGTATTTTGTGAAATKCTTTTTCTGCATCTATTGAGATGATCATGATTCTTATCTTTAAGTCTATTGATGTGATGAATTATATTTATTGATTAAATCACCAAATGTTGAACCAACCTTACATCCCTGGGATGAATCCCACTTGATTATGTGCACAATCTTTTTGATATGCTTTTGTATTCGATTTGCCAGAACTTTATTGAGGATTTTTGCATCTATGTTCATTAGAGATATTGGTCTGAAGTTTTCTTTCTTTGAAGTGTCTTTATCTGGTTTTGGAATCAGTGTGATATTGGCCTTATAGAATGAGTTTGGAAGTACTCCCTCTTTTTCTATTTCCTGAAATAAATTGAAGAGTATTGGTATTAGTTCTTGCAAACAAGCTTTTATGGCAGCCCTCTTTATGCTACTCCAGAATTATTAAAGGTCCAAAAGTACAATGGCCTTATGGTAGAAGTGGAGAGCCTAGGAGTCATCGCTGGATACTGCCTTTTAATGGGTAGAACATTGCAGAAACAGGTGTAAGAGGATTACTTTTTATGTGTCTGTGGAATTCCTAATCTTTAACACCAGTGATAGAGGCACTTTATTTATTTGGTTCTGGAGTTTGAATCTAGGGTGCTTTATCACTGAGATACATCACTAATGTTTTTATTTTTTGTGCTATGGTCTCCACTAAGTTGCCAGGGCTGTCCTTGAACTTGTACTTTTCTGCTTCAGCCTCCTGAGTTGCTAGGATTCCAGGCATGCTCTATCATGCCCAGCTCGAGAGATGCACTTTAGGGGAAATCCTGAGGGACCTATGGGCAAATATGGGCCATAATGTAGAACTAAAGCTTTACATCAATTCACTTCCTGACTACCATGACCTCCAGCCTGACTGAGTTGATGCTGTGCATGGGCTATGAATGGAATGAGATTCAGGACTCATTTGTGGGCCAGGAATAAGATGAAGCCGGCTGTCAACTTTGGGACTGTGACACCTCAGCTGGAGTGGCCCACCACACCATGAAGCACCTGCCTTCTGCTGATCTTCAAAATTACTGCTGTCCTTCTTTACATTCAAGGTAGACCGTACAGTCTCTGTAGCCCTAAGCAACAAGCCTGCCATCCCTACCTTTATTTGGTTCTATAATAGGAAATTAGCATCTTGGGGAGGACTGGGAGTTAGGGTGGGAGGTCAACACCACAGACTTCCTGATAGTCCCTTCTTTGATCTAGAGATGAAGACTACCCACCCCCCAGCAGTTTCCCAGCCCTGTGACTGTCCCTTCCACTCATAGCACCCCTCAGCAGTGTTGGAGCCTCAGGTAATACCAGTTGTGCTCAAGGTTTATCTTTCAAAAGAAACCTCTTCCCTGCTGGACAACTCTGATCAGGACCAGTAGAACTTTCTGGAAGGTATGCATCTAACTTTTTCCTCTCTCATAGCAATGACTAGCAGGGGGCCACCTTCATCCACAGACACTTTAGTAGTGAAGAAAAGCTCAATAGGTTTGGTATATAAAGATTCATTATTTCATTATTTCCTAAGGGTAAAGAGCACTATAAATTTCGGGAGATATTTATAGGGACAGAGGGCTAATATTCTTATGGGAGATCTTAAACATCAACAAACATAAGCTTCATAAAAAGAATTCACGCAGTTAAAATGCAGAATGAACCCATTTATTTTACCCAAGACATTACTGTATATAAAATGAATTGTGCTGATGGGAGGTTGTGTTGTTAGAGCTTTCTACATGCCAGTTTGGTGGTAGTCAAATTTTAAATGTGTATCTTTAGTTCTCTTTGAATTTAATGCAAGGAAATAGTTGGGAAAATGGACAAAAATATTTTGTACAATAATGTTCATTGTTTTGTGTTATTGTAGGAAAAAAATTGAAAATCATCTAAATGTCAGTTGTAGAATAAGTGATTATATAATAAAAAACCAAGTAGCCATGGAAATGACGTAAATTTGTGTTTTAACAACATGGAAGTATGCCCATTATCTATTTATGTGTAAAAATCAGATTGTAAAGTGTATGTCTATCTAGTATGCTATAAATTTTTTTTTTTTTTTTAAAAAGAGAACACAGTACTGGGTATAAGCCAAAAAAGATCAAAAAGGGCCTAGTTATGAGTGATACTTTTAATTCTCCTCATACTATATAGAATTTTCATTAAGTTTATGCAATGGAAAACTATCCTTTTTATAACCAGAGTGGGAACGGTGAAGTTTTTTTGTAAGAGAGGCAGTAGAAGACAGGTGAGAATGGGCAGGGAGGCCCCCTTTGGTAGCTCTACACCAAAGGGGCCTGTAGGTAGGCGGAACCCAGTGCATGCTCTGCTAGAGGCAGGGGGGAGGGCGGGCAAGTGGGTGCACCTGGGGAACCGGAAAAGGGTGCAGCCAYAGGCGTCTGTCTTTGGAAAGCGCAGTGGCTACTCTCTTCGCGGCAGCATGAAGTTTCGTGCCAAGATCACCAACAAGGGCTTTATAGAGCTCTTCATTCAGGTCAGTGGCACCATAGCAAAGTTGGCAAAGGTCTGCGTGCTCCGTGTGTGCCAAGACAAACTGTGCTTTGGTCCCACAGGCCCCAGGGCCACCCGAGAGGCCAGGCTGTGGTGCGAAGTGATGCGGGGAGCCTCCTTCTACCAGTTTAACATGGAAGGTGTTTCTGAAGATCTCAATGAGATTTATCTAGAGCTGGTATCAGAGCATTTGTACAGAGCTGTGAGAAGTGCAGGAAATGCTGCCTCCCTGAAAATCCAGCTGACCAACAAGCGTCGCCCCTGCCTCACAGTGGCCGTAGAGCTGGCATCGCGCACTGGGCACACCCATGTGATGGTCCATGATCTACCTGTGAGGGTGCTTCCCAGAAGATGGTGGAAAGAGTACCCAGAGCCCAGTATTCAAGTCTCTGATGTGAGTGTTTATCTGCCAGCTTTGAAGACCCTGAAGAGCATTGTGGAAAGGATGGCCAACATGGGTGATAACGTGCTGGTGGAAGCAAATCTAAATGGTAAAATGAACTTGAGTATAGAAACTGATGTAGTATCTATTAAAAGTTATTTTGAAAATCTTGGAAATCCTTTAAAGTCTGCTCATAGCGTGACCCAAGACAGAGACCCGGAGAACATGGTGCAAGTGCGGGTAGAGAATAGGAAACTTCTGCAGTTTTTTGAGGGACAGCAGATAAATCCCAAAACGGCCTTATGCAATATTTTGAGCAATACTCTTCTTCATCTTGTTTTGGTTCATGAAGACGTCTCTCTTCAGTATTTCATTCCTGCCTTATAAAAAATTCAACCAGCCTGGATTAAAAACAAAAACAAAATCACAAAATTTAGGATCTCTTCATAATTGAAATAGACCCTGAGTTAATTCAATTGAGTCTCTACCCTCAGTGGATTATGAGGGTATATGGTTCATTGAGAGCTTCCTTTGCAAAATTGATATTAAAGACAATCATTGGTGAAATAGATGGAAAAGAGATTGTAACAAAATAAATGGAAATACCTCTAAATCCTAAAACAATTTTGTCATTRTTATAACATACTAATATGAAGAATGGTATTTTTCTCTTTTTAAAATAAAATAAACATTTTCTGAAAGACTTTGCTTAATCTAGAGAAGTCAGTATATTTAAAAATAAGGGTATTCATCCAGCATTTGTGTACATCACATTCTTTGTAAGAAACTGTATTTTGTTAAAGGAGATATTAGTGTACAGTTGGCCCTTGAATGGTAACTATGTGGGTCCACTTATATGCAGATTTTTTKTGTGTGTGTAGATTTGCGGCAATTTGAAAAATTCATAGAGGAGGTGCTTAGCCTATAAATATATTAAAAAATGAGGAAGAAAATGTCACAAATACATAAAATATATGTAGATAAGTCTTTTATCTTTTAGCACCATAAAATATCCATGAATCTATTGGTTACAATGAATGAAAACTTAAACACATAGATACCATACATGGTCCCATTTGTAGTTGATAGAAATATAAARCTGAAGTATTACAACTGTATAAAATCAACTCTAGTATATTTTGTGTTACTGTAAATTTCATTTTAATCTCCTTTTTCTATTGGGAAGCTTAGAGTTATATACAGATTTTGCAGGGGTTGGCACTCATCAGGGGTTGGCACTAATAACCCCCATATTGGTTAAATAGTCAACTGTATGTTATTTTTGGATTTATGATCTATATAGTTTGAATTGCTTTTTATTAGGTTTATTTTTCATATGTATTGTATTCATATAATGAGTCAAGGAAATAGTTAAGTTTATGTGAACCAAGATGTTGCTTATGTAACTTTTGGATAAACCAAGTTTCCATTTGCTCCCCCATAGTAATGAGCTCCACTTAGGAAATAATTCTTTATCCTTTATTATTTTGAGAAAAAGGAGAAGAGATTTAAAAGGTTGGTATATTGATGGAATAATATCACATAATTGGTGATATTCTTTTATATTAAATTTTAGTTTAATTTTTTTAGTAGCTTGCTCAGTAAGATCCTGTATACCTTGGAAGTCTTTATTTTTGTATACTTAGTAAATTCCTGACTATATTTTAATCAGAAATGAATATTTACACATTAGTTTTGGTGGTAAGACAGTTAAATTTGTTTTGCTGGTTCCATCTGTGTTRTTATGGAAGGAACACAAACATTGGACCTAGTCAAGTCAAATGAGCCCATTAATGTCTAAGCTGTGAAAAAATTGTTAAAAAGCCATTAAAAAATCCTCTTATCAGAATTTTCATATACTTTAAACATGAAAGTGAAAAACAAATGTTTTAACATAGAAAATTCTAAGCTCTGAAGTTTTTTTTTTTTTCTGTTCTGTACCATAAACAGGACTTGCATTTATTTGTGGCATCTCTTCTTTCTTTTTTTGTTTTGGAGTGTTCAAGCTTTAGTTGTCATCTTTTATTTGACTGTTTCATCCTCTCTCCCCTCTGTTTTTTCCATTAGACTGCCAGTCTCTCTTTCTGTTTCTTCCTTTTTATGTATTTAAAGAAACTGAGGGAAATGAGAAATCTTATGGTTTGTGAAGTTTAATTTGGTGAATTTTTATAATTTAGTAATTCATGAACAGAAAGTGTCTGTCAAAAGTTTTATAGCCTAGTCTATGCAGTGGAACTTTTGAAAAAGGGAAGGATAAGTTTTTTTTTCAACTTGGGTTATTTACTAAGCTAGAGATAATTTGGTTATTTACTAAGCTAGATTATGGAAATAGCAAAAGGCCATCTAAATAGCTCTTGAAAGTTCATATCATTCTAATGGTAGTCAAAAAATTTTATAAAATATAAATTTAAAATAACAACGTTCTTATAGGTTTTTAGTTTGTGAAAAGCTAAGAAGGGTTCATTTCCATATTTATACATTAGTTATTGAGTTTAAATGCTTAATTCTATAAGACTCTATTAGAAACAGAAACCGAAAGATGCCTTAGAGATGATATCATCCAATCACCGTATTTGTAGTTGAGGAAACAGTTTCACAGAACATCAGAGTGACCAGGGGCGTTTGACTAAGCCAAGATCTATTTTAGAAACCAGTCTCCAAACTCTTCATAGATCTTTATGTTTTGAGCTTATTCTATCAAGCCTTAATTCAGTTTGGAAATACTTATATTAAGATGAATCTATAGTACTTTGTGAATGTACCACTTACCTAAAAAGGCAAAATTACATTAAAACAATCTCAAATGTTTTTTGAAGCGTGTTGCCATATTGCTTTTGTTTGATGATGTCTTTGTTTTTTCCGGTGGAATGAAATTATTTGCCACAAAATGATACTTCTAGGTGAGTGCAKTGGTGCACACATGTAATCTCAGTGGCTTGGGAAGCTGAGGCAGGAGGATTGCAAGTTCAAAGCCAGCCTCTGCAACTTCGTGAGGCCTTAAGCAATTTAGGGAGACCCTATCTCAAAAAATAAAATGGGTGGGGGATGTTGCTCAGTGGTTAAGCACCTCTGGGTCCAATCCCTGGTACCAAAAGAGGGTAAAAGATACTTATACAGAAAACAAGTCTCATATTTAAAAAAAAAAAAAAAGGTATCAGGTTTATAAATTATTTCAGCTTCTCTCATTTGTGTCTTTCAGGGAGACACTACTACTGAGAAGCAAGGAAACACTGTGCCTTTTATGTTTCACTCTTATCTACAGAAAATAAATCATTGACAAAATGTATTAAAGTTGTTCTTTATATCCCAAAGTGGACATCTCAATATAAATATTATTGTCCTAGTAGATATCATTTGCTAAAAGCTGTAGTAAGCTTATCTACATAACAGACTTGTATTTCTTTCAATTGTTCTTGAGTGTATGTTTAGTATGTGAATAGGTTACCAATATAAAAAAAAATCAGACAAGTGTCTGTTAACTGATTCATTCCTATAAGGATGCTCCTAGTTCTGTTTATTCCAATTCAGGTCAGACAGTTGAAAAATACTTGGTAAATTAACATGATTCTTTTATGAGAGCAATAAGAAATTATTTATTTGTGATTTTTAATAAAAACATTACCTCGAGTGTAGTATATTTTTAACTGGAAGAGTGTTGAGAAATCTCTATTATTAATTCCACAAATAAAAGTGCATACTTCGGCAGGCAGTGGCTACAACAGTATAAAAAAGCATATTCTTGTATTTCTAAATTAAATAGCTTACTGGTCTTCCTTAAAGTATGATTTGTCCTTGGTTAAGGAAATAGGTGGTAAGGAAATAGATATTATTTTTGCATATGAACAGCTAGATTTTTACCTGCCTCCTAGTTTGTGTGTCTGGTATAGACCTATACTCTTCAAAGTAGATCACACTTTTTGATTCATCACTCTCAGACATTATTATCATCATCATTATTATTTTCCCAGGTATTACTTTATTTTATTTGGATAAACTTTGAGGGTAAAGTAGTTAGGAATATGACCCTTGATAAATGACTGCAAATGGATTTTGAAAATTGAGAGTGAATTAGAAATGCTCTGTTAGTTTTTAGTTTTGCCTTGAGACCAGAGGTATTCTAATTTCACATCAGAATGAGCCAGAGCCACAGATTACTGAGAAACAGCCAAAGTTCTTATCTCATTTGTCATATATACAAAGGACCTCATGGTACACAAGGTAGTATAGAAGAGTGATATTAGACTCTTTGAATCAGGAAACCAAGGTCTGTTTTAAAGCTAATAAAGTGTGTGACTTTGTAAAGGTCATTTGACATCTCTGAGTTACATTTTCTTCAGATGACAAGACTAAATATTAATTGGATCAAGTCTCTTTTGGCTCTGATTGTGTGAATACCAGCCTGTACTCTTCTGGTAATCAAAACTGTCATTTTCAAAGATTGTTGTTAGTCTGATATTTCTAGTAATCACTAGTAATCATCTTTTCTATAATATTAATGTCACTGGTAATTACTGATAGTTGTCATACTACTGTTTCTCTGGAAACAAGGGGAACAGAGAATTTCTACTTGAAAATTTGGTTCTTTATGTGAACTAGACCAGATACTGAAAGTAATCCACTGAAGCCACATGCTTACCCAATTTGTGTTGTACAATTGAGGTCACAACTTAATAGTGCCAGCAAGATAATTACATCACTACTCATTGAGGGCCTACTTTTCCATGCCAATTGAAGGAAGCATTTTCCTTTGTTCAGAGTTGGTTTGTAGGTATTAATTAATGAAGCAGGTTAATTATCCAACCTTTTCTTAGTATTTCCCTGCAATTCTTATAGTATCTTTAGGGCAACATAATGTCTATTTGTTTAAATGGTTGTTAGAACTTTGTGGCCAAATGTCTTTTCAGTTCCATGAAATTTTATTTTATTTTTTTTTTGTGCTGGGGATTGAACTCAGGTGCACTCAATCACTGAGCCACATCCCCAGCCTTATTTTGTATTTTATTTAGAAACAAGGTCTCAACTGAGTTGCTTAGTGCCTTGCTTTTTGCTGAGGCTGGCTTTGAACTCTCCATCCTCCTGTCTCGGCCTCCCGAGCCACTGGGATTACAGGCATTTGCCACCATGCCTGGCGAATTTTTTTAATATGTTACCTGGATTTCACATTTATCAATTTATAATAGTTCTCAGACATGTACTCAAAACAAACTTTTCACTCTTCTCTGCATTTAGAAGCATGTTTAAAGGGTTAACAATAGAATGTCTCCTTAAAGGAATATTTACTTCTAAAGCTTTATGTAAGCTTAACTATTAAATCATCTAGTATGTCTATTATTTAAAATTAGTTTATTGAGCCAGGTACAGTGGCACATACCTGTAATCCCTGTGGC